GGCGGCGGCGGCGAGCCCCGGCCCCGGCCCCACCAGTGCCCCAGCTGTCCGCTGGCCTTCACCGCGAAGAGCAACCTCCAGAAGCACCTGGTCACCCACAGCGGCCACCACCACCACCGCCGGCCCCACCAGTGCCCGGTCTGTCCGAAGGCCTTCGCGCAGAAGGTCCACCTCACCGCCCACTACCGCATTCACAGCGGGGAGCTGCCCTACCAGTGCGGCTTCTGCCCGAAGCGCTTCGCCCACATCAGCAGCATGAAGGCGCACACCCGGTCGCACACCGGGGAGAGGCCGCACCGGTGTATCGTCTGCCCGAAGGCCTACGCCTCGCTGGCCGACCTGCGGAAGCACCGCCTGAGAGTGGGTCATCTTCCGGAGATGGGGCAGGGGCAGGAGGGGCAGCAGAAGGAGGAGGTCAATGGCAGTCCAATGACTCTCCTCCTTGCGGCACGCAGCAACAACGGCGATGCTGCTGCTGCTGCTAAGGAGAACATCACCACCAACACCAACACCACTACCACCACAACAACAAGTGAGCGGCCACGGCGGCCGCCTCAGCGGAAGAAGAAGTTCATCTGCTCCGTCTGCTCGAAGGCCTTTATCTCCTCCAGCCACCTGANAACAACAAGTGAGCGGCCACGGCGGCCGCCTCAGCGGAAGAAGAAGTTCATCTGCTCCGTCTGCTCGAAGGCCTTTATCTCCTCCAGCCACCTGAGGGAGCACATGCGACGGCACACGGGGGAGCGGCCCTTCCAGTGTGACCGCTGCCAGAAGGGCTTCACCAAATCCTATGACCTGAGAAGACATCTTCGGACGCACACGGGGGAGAAGCCGTACCGCTGTACGGTCTGCCCGAAGGCGTACGCCTCGCTGGTCGACCTGCGGAAGCACCGCCTGAGGAAGGGTCATCTTCCGGAGATGGAGCTGGGGCAGCTGGAGCAGGTCAATGGCAACGGCGACTCTCTGACTACTGTGGTAAAATCGGAGAGTTCATGATCAGATCTCGGATCAGATCAGCTATGATAGGCTACAGCAGCTGTTGGTGAAACAAAACAAACCTGCCGAACTGAGTTTGTGAAAGTTTCTCAAAAAAACATTAGCTTTGTACATACACTCTAATTGTCAATTAAAATAATTATCAAACACCTGTGCTCAATTATGAAGGATTCTTTTTTGGGGTTTTTTGCACTCTCTATTACCTTCAGAAGTGACTGTAAAAGTCAGCCAGTCCCTTCACTTGGTGTGTTCTCTTCCCCCTTCCCTTACCTCCTTAACTTTGGGACACTGACTGCTAGCACTTACATGCTATCCCAATCCCTTTTCTTGTCACCAAACCAGTCAAAGAAGTGTACAAAAATTGACAATAAAAACATTCTTCAGCAGCAGAAACAATACCTTTAAACTGTGGCAGTTGATTAGACTCCACACCAAGGTAATGGAGAGGATTCTCGTTCTTCTCTCTCCTCTTAGTGGGCCAAACGCTGCTGCTGCTGCTGCTGTTTACCCCAACCACTGCAGACTGTGGCTCTTGCCGCTAGGGTCGCTATTTACGAGAAAAAAGAAAGGGATTCCCTCTGAGGGAAGAGAGAGACAGAGAGCGATCGAGCGTGGGAAGCAGTGAGCCCCAGCAACAAGTTCCACACTGAGCCTCTGATGCCTTCACAGGCAAAAAATAACAACAACCGCAAAAATGGCAGCTACGGCTCACTATCTGTTTTAGCTGAATCTCTACCCGTTTTCTACCCACTAACACTGCCAGCACTTTGCAAACACAGCAGTTCTATGTTAAGCCAATTTCTCCCCTCTCCCAATTTACCGTCATCCTCATCCACATCATCATCAACTTCAGCAAAGCACAACATGAGCCACCGAGTTGAAGCAGCTCCTGCCAACGAGGAGATTGTAGAAATCAACAGCGACGATGAGGGCACAATTGATTTGGGCTCAGAAGATGAGGGAACTGTTGATTTGGAGGCAGAAGATGGTGAGGACGGAAATTTACTGCCATCACCAGAAGAAGATGAAGATGAACTGGCTCTAACAAACAGGGAGTTCAATGAGCAGTTTGTCTACCACACCACACCTCCATCTCCTTTTCCCAATTATCCCTCTCCTCCTCCTCATTTACCACTTCCCAATCGCCCCAATGATGCTACCACCAATAATCCAAATGCACCCCAGAACACTACAGTACAGGACAATGCTGAACAACTTGGCAATCAGCAGCCAACAGAAACCGGTGAGTTTTCTTTCAATAAAAAAATATTCTCACAAAAATCGCTAACAGTTATCTTTTTATCAGATCAACCAGTGGCAGTGGCTGAAATAGCAGTGAATGGAGGTACAGTGATGAACACTGCTGCCACTGCTGATGATGTGCATCAATCCACTGAAGCTGATGACCTGAGAGACACTGATAATGAACGGAGGAGGAGACCGTACCGCTGTACAGTCTGCCCGAAAGCATTTACCCAAAAGTGTGACCTAAAAAAACATCTTCGCATTCACACAGGCGAGCGGCCGTACCAGTGTACAGTCTGTCCGAAAACATTCACCCAAACGGGTAGCCTAACAATTCACCTTCGGAAACATACTGGCGAACGGCCATACCAGTGTGACCGGTGCCAGAAATCATTCATTAGCCAGAGTGAACTGACAGTTCACCTTCGCACACACAGTGGCGAGCGGCCGTACCAGTGTACAGTCTGTTCGAAAGCATTCACCAAAAAGAGTCACCTAACAGACCACCTTCGTAGCCACGCCGGGGAACGGCCATTTCAGTGTGACCAGTGCCCAAAAGCATTCACCCAAAAGAGAAACCTAACAGTTCACCTTCGGACACACAGTGGCAAGCGGCCGTACCAGTGTACAGTCTGTTCGAAAGCATTCACCCAAAAGAGTCACCTAACAGCTCACCTTCGTAGCCACGCCGGGGAACGGCCATTTCAGTGTGACCAGTGCCCAAAAGCATTCACCCAAAAGAGTCACCTAACAGCTCACCTTCGTAGCCACGCCGGGGAACGGCCATTTCAGTGTGACCAGTGCCCAAAAGCATTCACCCAAAAGAGTAACCTAACAGTTCACCTTAGCACCCACACCGTCCAACGGCCTTTCCAGTGAGACCGATGCCAGAAAGCATTCACCACACAAGGTGTCCTAACAGCTCACCTTTGTAGCCACGCCGGGGAAAGGCCATTTCAGTGTACGGTCGGCCCTAAGGCATACAACTACAGTACCAGTCTCCGGTTCCACCGTCAACATGCTCATCCTCCTTCTCCTAATCCGCATCAGCAACCAAACCAGTCCCAGTAGACGTTTCAGTTTCAAAGTTGCCCCCAACAACTTATTGCCCTCAGTCATCACCGACAGCAACAGCAGGGGCAGCAGCAGGAGGAGCAGTCGAGTGAGGTCAATGGCAACGCCGACGATTCGATTACAGTTACAGAATCAAATCAGGGAGCTCATGATCATCAGATCAGATATGATAAGCTTCAGCGGCAGCAGCCAGAGAAACAAAGCTGCAAAAATGAATTTTTTAAATCTTGAAACAATTATTTTGTATACACTCTTGTTGCAAATAAAAACAGGGGCACACCTCTGCTCAATTTTTTCAGATTTTTAGCGTTCTATTACCTTCACAAGTGACTGTGAAAGTCAGTCAGAGGCAGAGAGAGAGCATGAGCTGATAGAAAATGAAAAAATGAATAATGATTTAAAAGCCGCGCTAGCACGAGTGCTTCTTTTCTTCAGCAACAGAGGCCGCCACTGCCGCTTCAAAACCGT